TGTTTCACTAATAATTAATTTTCATCCACAGAGATTTAGCAGTACAGTTGAAGCTAGAGAGTTAAATAATAATTATGGAGATGATCAATGGTTAATCAATAAAGGGTATTACCACCTGCCCTGCAAAAGGCCAGGAGGTTTTAAAAGCTGCTTTAACATGTGAACTAAACTTTATTACCAATACATATTTTAACTGATATAGCACAGCAGGTTAAAATGGAAAATCTATTATGATTTTGATAGGCTGAGGTTTTGAAGGTTTTTCCCCAGTGTGGGAATTGCTACTTTTGATGATCAGTTTCAAAGGTATTGATGCCTTTCTAAAAAAAAAAGCATGAATGAGTATTATTTTAAAAATGGGAAACATTTGTATATTTACCCTCTGTATTTTACCGTGCCTGCTGAAGAGATCGGAGATGTCTGGGAAAACTTGCAAGTTTAATCTCTTTAATCAGACCACAAAAATGTACCACTTTAGGTTGCCTGTCCTGCTATGGAATTTAAGACAGCAAAACGCTGCAAAGATGTATCAATTCCATTTAAATAGGCTATGTAACATTTCTCACTTGAGCATCAACCTTATTCATTATCAGTTTTATTAGCGAAGGATGTTTAAATTCATACAAAATACAAGTTGCAGTACCAGATTTCATCTGTAGATACTAGTGTATGGAATTACTTTCTCTTCTAGTAAAACCCAAAGCTATGGAAAGGAAGCCTTTTGTGCTACAGCTCAGGCATATGTAATTTGATATACATTTACACTAGAAGTTCCCTCTAATTGCAAAGGACATCACAAGTGCTACAAAGTATGAGCTATGAAATTCTTTATCTACCGTTCACCTTCGATTCAAATGGAAATTTGTAAGCACACTCAACAATTGAAATGTACCATGAGGATTAAATAACTACAACTACACAAAAGAATGGGGACACGTCTGCGTATGCCTTTACTGCACAGCATGAAATAGTAGGAAGAGGAGCATGGAAATAAGTTATAGCACATGTAATGTCGGCCTAATGAAATTTCTCTTAAGAAATAATGGCTGTGACATCACTGGAAAACATTACAGATCATGATTAATGTCAAGAAGAATAGTTTTATCCAGTCTTTATGGCTCATGTAATTGTACTTGACCTCTGTACTGTCCTACATTTCCCCCTCTCATCTGACAAGACAGTGAAGCTAGCTCCAGACACAGTCAGATTGTTAATACCTAACACTTACCTGCCCATGGCTACTTGGTCATTGGGGTCCACAGAACTGGTCCTGCGCTCTATCAGCTCCCGCAGCAACTGTAAAAGATTGTAAAGCATAATGTTTTAATAACAATTGGTTTAGCAAGTAGTTTGACTGGAGTCCAGCAGTCATTTCCTGCAGTGCTAGGGCTATTAAATACAATCTACACATTAGCAAGCCTTATGCTATGAAAGTAAAGTTTAATTTTGTTGTTTTGGAATTGCTGAAATTCAGCACAGTAATAGTGAAGGCCCAAAATTAAAAAAAAAAAAAAATAGTAGTTCACTAAACCGTACATAGAATGTTAAAATAGGTTGCATCTACTAAAGCACCTAACCAATAGAAATATATAAATTAAGCTAATTCTATTGTAGAACCCTGTAAGCAGGAGTGCTATGAAATTTAGTTATTCTCAGACTGTAGTTAGTCTGAGATAGATCTGTAGTTATGTTCATCTCATTTCTTCAGAACAATCTATGGATGCTGCATCTGCCTGTGTGCTGTGTGTGTTTGTGCCACAGAGCAGAGCAGCCAATAGGGATTGTTGTGAGCATTTGTGTCTCCTGGACAATCACTGGGAGGTACAGGCCAGTGATGCATGCTGGGAGAGGATATAAATGCTCTGTGTGGCGGATGCAACATTGAGTCTCCCTCCCTGGGGGGAGGCGGTTACTGACTGACTGACTGAACTGGCTGGGCCTGAAGCCTGGGGACTACCCTGATACTGACACTGGGGCCTGAATCTGGAGGTCCTGTGGTCAGCTACCGATTCTGGAGATGAACATGTACGAGGACTTCTGAAGTACTACTTTGCCTGATGCTCTCTGCACAGATTGCCGTGTCTGGCTTAAAGGTCCTAGTCTGTGATGGCAGCAGTTACTCTGTTCTATTGCTTAAAAGGAGTCTACCTCGTCCTGGATGTGCCTGACCTTGGCCCTCTCTCCCTGAAGTTCAGCAATAAAAGAAATTCAGCTTTTATCTACTGTCTGGACTTCACTTTAATGATTAAAAATTTCCTGTTCGATTAATCGAAAAAATTTTTTATCGATTAATTATAACGCACATACAAATCCAACTACATTGGCCTATACACATACAGCACAGCAATAAAGTAATAAAATGAACTAGGATCACACTAATCCAGCACGTTATTAATCTCACGTGCCCCACTCAATATGGCCGCCGCTTGAGTGGGGCAACTCAGAATAATAACGTGCTGGATTAGTGTGATCCTAGTTTATTTTATTACTTCATTGCTGTGCTGTATAGCGTATGCCTTTTTTTTTTCTTTTCTGATTGACGGTCTCCCGATGTCAGAAAAGAAAAAAAAAAAAACGATCCCAGGGAAAGGTTTAATCTGCTCGATTGAGCAGATTAAACCTTTCCGGTAAAAAGTGTGTCTCTCCCGGGCGGCCGGGAGAGTTAGGATGTGTACTCACCGGCCCAAGCAGCTTCATCAGGTAACGAAGGGAAGGGGAAGGAGTCCAGTGACGTCACAGACATCGACATCACCGGACTCCTCCCCCCTTCCCTTCATTAGCCGACAGAGCCACTTGTGGAAGGGGGGAGGAGTCCGGGGACGTCGATGTCCGTGACGCCACCGGATCTCCGACGGAAGACCCGGAAGCCGGCGGAGAGGTGAGTACAGAGCCAAAGAACTTTGATCGATCAAAAAAATTAACGATTAATCAAGGGATTAATCGTTAATTTCCGCAGCCCTAATATATATATATAACACATATATACATATACATAGAGACACACACACACACACACACACACATTAGGGATGCACCGATACCCATTTTTCGGTATCGAGCACCAATATTTATATTTCAGTACTCGCCGATACCAGTACTTCTGCTAGCATGGAGCCGGCTTCATGCTGTTTGCCTGCTCGATGCCGATTGGCAGGGAAACCAGATTCCCAGGTCTCCTGCTGACTGGAAGTTCCGGTATCGTGGGTAAGTATCGAGTACTCACCCAAATACTTGGTATCGGCACCGATGCTAGTATCAGTGCATCCCTAATATATATTATATATGGACCTTTACTCAAACGGTAGCAAATCTGAACTCCTGATCCCCCCTTTCAACAGAGATTCATGACTAATTGCCTAGAATCTTTGTAAAGTTGCCCCAAGTGAATGCTGTTCTCAAAAATGGTACAGGAACAACTACAGATGTTCCTCGCTTACCGACTTACCTGTTTTGCGACCACTCGCACTTACGACGGACCGCTGATCGACCTCCGACCTTGCGCGTCAACGTCAGTGCGCCGTGTCGCCGGCGGAAGTGGTGTCATCCGATCTTCACTGCGGGTCCCGGTAAGTATTTTCATTGCCGGATGTACAGTACACTGTTCGGTACTGTACATCAGCAACGCTATACAGTACTGTACTAATGCAGTACAGTACTGTGTAGAGTTCCTCACTTAACGACCAATCCGTTTAACGACCTGGCCGTAGGAACGGAACTCGGTTGTTAGGTGAGGAATGCCTGTACATGAAACTACATGAAATTGTGCTCTTAGCCTTTTATAAAACATTTAAATTACACTTCTTAGGACGCAGTGTTGACAGAGAACATGTACAGAATGGCTCGGTGCAGTGTTTCTGAGCAAACTGTTCTATATTCAGCCACACTAGCAAACATGACACAAAAATTAATTGCATTATACCAGAGATAAGAAACAAGCTCTATGTGCTGGTCATGACCACCAGAAATGAACAGGGCCATGCCCAGCAATATATTTTATGGACAGAACTATTCTCTCATGGGTGTGCAAAATAAATAGCATAAAATGATTAAAATATTTATGGCTGTAAAATTTAAGTTTTTTCTTCACCCTCTATTACACCTTTATTTAATGCTTGGAGTTTTTGGAGTATTGAACAGTTAAAGTTGTGTTGTCCAACAGTATTTTAATGCTTGCTTATTCATTAAAAATTATCAGAAGCTCTGATCTGGTAGTTATTGATAACCTATAAAAGGTAACTGTACCCAAGTCTAGCTTATACCATCACGACAAGTATTTCACATAAATTTGACCCCTGCTCATATTTGGACATCTGGAATATAAGTGAGTGTGTGGGTAATTACGTTTTTTTCTTATGTATTTATTTCAGCCCAAGAAAAAAAGAAATGACTGTAAGAATAAAGAGTACAGTGTTCGTGTAAAAGTAACTCCATGCTCCCTCATTACCAGGTGACGAGGAAGCATGTGGACAGCTTTCTGGCAAATAAGGAAGCTGGGGGGCAGGTAATGACTCGTCCCCTGGCTTCCTGATTGGCCAGCTTCACGGCCAATCAGGTAGACGAGGGAGCATGGAGCCGGCTTTCCAGCCAATCAGGAAGCCGATAAGGGGGGCGGCAGAGAGAGTCATTAGCTGCCCCTTGGCTTCCTGATTGGCCAGGAAGCCAGCTCCATGCTCCCTTGTGACGAGGGAGCATGGAGCTGGCTTTCCGGCCAATCAGGAAGCCAGGCAGTGTGTAATGACTTGCAGCCTGGCTTCCTGATCCTGGAAGTTTCGGTATCGGGATAGGCATCAGGAGCATACCAGTATCGGTGCATCCCTAGAGACTGTATAGACTGTACAGAATGTTTACTGAGTTCAGTAAATACAATGCATCTGTGTTCACTTCAAATCAATCTGGCACGATTGTGTAATCAAAGTGAACCCCGGTTCACCAAATTGACCATAATTTGCAAAGTGAGCGGAGACCTCTACTCCTTTAGTAAATGAACCCACCTCTGTTCTGTTTAGTAAACGGTTTTCCTTTTATTACAAATACACAACAAAGAATTTACAAATTTAGAATCCAAGGAACAAGGCTTAAACTATAGTTAAGAAAGGCATTACCATGATATCAGCAGCTTATCTCAAGATACACATTTCAGGTGGGGCATTTATTTACCAGCTTAAGTGATTGCAATACACCAAGAGACTGATAAATCTTGAAAGCAATGTGTAATTTGTAATAAACTAGTGGTGCTTTACCTTGGCTCAACATATCTAGAGACCACATTAAAAACCTTTCTTTCCCCATGTCCATGTTTAGTTACTGAACATGTGATGGTTGAGTACAAAATACAATGCGCAAATATTTGCATGAACTCTCACAAAGTGATGTGTAGGGGCTTGGTGCAAACCAAGTTCACCCAAAGCGCACACAAAGCTTTGACTGACACACCTCCCCTTCCCAGGCCAATTAGTTGCAGCTGTGGCATTTCCTGCCTCCTATGTAACATGTAGCTGTGGGGCAGGGAATGCCCTTGCTGCAGCTGATTGGGCCAGAGGGGGGTATGTCAGCCACAGTTTTGAGTGGGCTTCTGCTGGGTTCACATCAAGCCCCTGCTCATCACTACTCTCAAACGTCTTGTGGGTGGGAGGTGGGAAGCTTTTCTCTGTTCTGAAAAAAGAAAAAAACTGCTGAATACAATGCCCAGTCTTGTACATCACTTCCCTGCCACATTAAACTCACTTTTGTGGACCTGATTTACCTGCCAAAGTATTTGTAATACTGCTGAACTAGCACTGCGTTACACACATACCTACCACAAAGAAAAACCAGGTCTATAACTTGCCTTGAACAGCAACTGGCACCTTGCTGATTCAGAGCAAAGTGACAGCGTCTGTGTAAAGGGGCCCCACCCACAACCCCACCAGTTGAGGCAGTGGAAGGAATGATGGCGAGATGAGCATCTGTGGGTCACTACACAGCCACGGTCATTATGCTCTCAATGGGCAAAGTGACACTGGGGGGAATATATCAAAACTGGAGCAGACAAAATCTGGAGAAGATTTGCACTGGAACCAATCAGCTTCTATCTCTCATTTTCAAATGCTGAGCAAACTGAAGAGAGATGCTGATTGGTTGCCAGGGGCAACTGCTCCAGTTTCTGTTTACTCCAGTTTTGATATATCATCCCCCCCCCCCCC